AATCTATATTTTAAATTTAAATTTTGATATTAACAAATTCGAATTAATCTATAATAATTGTAATTTTGTTAATAATCTTAAGCAAGAAATTGAATATTGTCTGATCTTAGGTATTTTTGGAATTGAAATATTTTAGATGTTTAAATCCTTCTGAACATGAAATAAAGCCATATATTTTTGAAATATGTATTGTTGGATTCATTGATTTTAATTCAATTTTTTTATATTTATATTGTTTAATAAAAGTTGATGTAGGATTCATAATTCATATAATTTTTTTATTTGTGAAGGTTTGAATTACTTGATTTTATAAAGCTTGATATTTATTTTTTTTAATAGAATAACATAAAATTGTTGTTCCATTTTCTAATTGACAGTATTCAAAATGTAAGTTTTTTAAAGTGATGAATGATTTTGGATTTTGCTGACTTTTCTTAAGAGAAAAAAATTCTGAAAATTTGGATAAATTTAATTTTGTTGTTCAAAACAATAATTTTGTATGCTAATCTTTAAAAACTTTATTGTACTAAATTCCTAAATTTTATTCTAATCATCTATTTATAGAAATAAGGTATTAATTTAAATAATTGTTTTTATTTTATGAAAAGATTGTAAATTTAAAATGTATACGTATATATAAAATATTTATTTATTTTATAAAAAATATTTTGTATGAAAATAATTTCCTTTATCCTTGTTTTTGTGGGATATATTTTGTTGGGGAGCAATAATCTAATGCTATATAGCATTACTAAAGTTTGTAAATAAATTATACATTTGTGAATAAATAAATTAAAACTAAATAAAAATTTATTTAATTATTTTTCATTTAAAGTTTTTAATGAGTTGAAACTATAATGATAACATTAAATATTTTCCCTTGAAATATTATTTTAATATATTTAAATTGAAAAACAAATTGAAACAAATTGTTTAGATTATAGTTCAGAAATTTCAACACAGAAGTAATTATAGTATCATATCTCATAAAGTAGATTTCAATTGTGATATGTTTTTGTCTTAGTAATTCATATTTGTCAAAAACCAAACATATTAATACTTTTTATCTATTTAGTTAAGTAAAAACTATAGTAATAATTTATCATATTATAACATTTTGCATATCATACTTATAAAATACAAAATTATATAACATATACAATTTAATATTTCTTCTATAGTTTATAAGGACATTTTTACAGTTTTAGATTGAGATTTTTTAACCATTTATCCTAGAATACAGGCAAAAATAATCAATTACAAAGTTCCTTTTAAATCAAAGCAATGGTATAGAACCTTTATACCATGAAAAAATGTATAGGTTTTTGTTCTAAAGATGTCTAAAAATTACTGAGTCAGATTTATTTTAATTTATTTAATAATTAAATGATATTATATTGATATTCTAGTGATAGCAAGAGTAATCAGAATTTATTTAATCCAAAGATTAAGGTTTAAGATAGAAACTGTCATGTTATGCAGTTTTTATCATTAATTTATTTTTTAACTGTAAAATTAATTGTATGAATATGGTCTTGAATTCAATAAAGTAATTGATTAAATCTAGCAAAACTGAATATGTACAGAACTCATTACAGAATGAAATAATTTGATTGTAAGTTTTAATAATATGTTTTAGTGATACTTTTTCCCCTCAAATTTGTATTTTGAATTTATGTTATTAGTTTAATTGTATTTCATTCTATTTAATATTTGATTAAACTTTATATTTATTGAATAAATTTGTAGTTGAGTTATAAATTTCTGACTACTTATTAAATTGATGATATTTTTTAATATTAATTACAATCTTATGAGGAAATGTTTTGAAGAATTGTAAATAAGAATTAACTGAATTTATATGGCTTCTTGAGAGATTTTATCTTATTCATATAACTTCTATTTTTGTAGGGCTTCATTATTTCTTTTTCTGTAAACATTTTCTAATTATATTATTTAATTCAAATTACAGTAGAGCATCATTTATCTGAATCAGTTGGGTACTGGGGTTGTTCGGATAAGTTATTTTTTGGATAACTGATTATGTACGAAAAAATATATTAACCTATCCTGTGTTGAAATTTTTCTCCGTCGCGTGTCGCTTCACGTTGAATTTTCGTCGATGTTAAGCCTAACGTAAACTTTTTAAAATAATAATTGTGGCTATTGTATCGTTAAAAATTATTTCTTTATTTTGTACAAACAAAATAAATATATTGAAAAATATAAAAACAATAAAAAATTATACTTCAGAAGTTAATTTAATATCAAAAACGTAAAATATTTGAGTAGCCCAAGACATAGCCAAAGATTGCAGTGCCACAGCACTAACAAAAATTTAAATTTGGCGACTGGAATTCTTTCAGATAATTGACGTTTCGGATAACCGACTTTCGGATAAACGACGCTCTACTGTATAATACTTTTTTAACTGCTATTAATATTACTTTGCCTATAAATTGTAAAATTGTTACAAATTCCTGGAATAGTTTGTACTCTTATAAAATATTTAGATATGAGATTATATTACAGTTTTTTAAACTACTATATTATTTATATTTTAGAAATATAATATAATTTAAATTTGGATTTTGTTTATTAATAAGTGAGGATATTTTCAAATATGCTAAACATGTTAATTTATTTATAAACTTATCATGTGGAAAACTGTGGTATGTTTTATAATTTATAAATAATGTAAAGTAGATAGCATAACTTAATTTAGTTGGGCTTCTTATTCATAAATAATCGTTAATAAGAAAACAGTATTTTCAAAATTTTTTTTATTTCAAAAGTTATTTTCACAATTGGTTTAATTCATTATAAATTATTTTATATTTGATCATTCAAAGTTTATTGTGTACTGAATAGGAATACTGGATATTTTTAAGTCAAATCATAAGAGCTTATACTGTATCAAAATTACACATTCACATAATTTTAATTCTGCATACTGATATAGTGGATGATTTCTGGATGTTTTAATGTGTATGGTTTTGTAGAAAATATTAAAAAATTTAATAAAACGTCATAAATAAAAAATATATATATGTATTTAATTCATATTTTATTTTGTAAACATTTAATTTTACATAATGGTAGTGTGTTGAAGACACACCTGAATATTAATTGATTAACAGATGTTTAGCGTAGTTCATAAAATTTTATATCGAACATATTGAAATAAACATTAGTTTCAGATGGTGTTATAGAAGACTCCTGTTTTACAAATTGTGCTTCTTAAAATTTTTATTTTTTAAATTTATTCAAAAATGTATTGATTATAATATATTTAAGATATTAACATTTAGAACAAAAGAATTATTTCAAAAAAAATTTTTTTTCAAAATTTCATAAAATATACTATCATTTTATTATTAAAAAGTTGAATTTAAATTTTATGAATGCTTTCGAATAATACATTTATCAAAAAAGATGATTATTATATTGTAATAATTTTTAAAATTTAATCAATGTAAGTTTAAATACAGTTTTTTTATGCTTATTCTTTCATATATACAAACATTTATTCTATGAAATATGCATAAAAATAACCTATGTAGAATTTAAAAACAAAATGCTTTCAAAATTTTTATTTATTGATGATAATTTTTTAAATTCTCATCTTAATTAGATTTAATAAAGGTCTAATTAATGTAACAATATATTATGTCATAATTTGATTAGATATTTTATCAGAAATAAAACATAATAACTTAGTATTAATGTTTAATTTTTTTTTGGTTGATTGTGATATTAAATAAAATTATGTTGAATTCATTCTGTGTAAAAGTTTACTTTTAATTATTATTATGTTGAGTTTAATAGGTTATACTCGGTTGACACTGTGTACTATGCCAGACCAGAGTAAAGGTCTAATTAATGTAACAATATATTATGTCATAATTTGATTAGATATTTTATCAGAAATAAAACATAATAACTTAGTATTAATGTTTAATTTTTTTTTGGTTGATTGTGATATTAAATAAAATTATGTTGAATTCATTCTGTGTAAAAGTTTACTTTTAATTATTATTATGTTGAGTTTAATAGGTTATACTCGGTTGACACTGTGTACTATGCCAGACCAGAGTCAAGGCATAGCAACCAAACAAGATAAAAATTAAACAAGTGTGTCAATGTGTGTGTCTGTTTTCAGGAATTTCCTAACAATATGACATAATTAATAATAATATAATTTAAAAGCTAATGTAGTAGAATCTACTTATTGTAATCATTTTGGACTTACCTCTACTGGTAATGATAACTGATTGTTAATGTTAAGTGAGATAAGTAAATATGATGACAATTAATACAATTTCTGGTTTTATCCACTTTGATATTAAAAGGACATATACATTTTTCAAAAATTTTGTTGACCTGCTGTTTTTATGCAATATTTTTTTTAAGAACAGTTAGAATATAATTAAGGAAATGAAAGCAATTTAAATTACTTGCAAATACTGTAAGCAAATAATAATTAAAATGTTTAAAGCACTGGTTAAGACTGATAACTGAATGATCAGCCTCAACAAATGGCTGATAATTTACGACAATGATGATAATCCTTATCAGTCATCTTTTGAGGTTGATCGCATGAAATGACAGCTTAAAAATACCTGTTTACATGAAGATAATGATAACTGTAACAGGATTGTGATTACAATAAGCATGTTTTATATGTATTTAACTTGTTCATTTTAGGACATGATAATTTTGATAACAAATAACTCTATCCATGATTGCAATAATGGATTTTATTGTATATGTGATACCTAAACAATTTTGGTACTCAATAATTATTTAACTGAAATTAATATTTTCAGTTTTTTTATAAGCCATCTTTGGATGACATAAATGTTATTTTTTTCTTATTTAACACTCAATTTTATTTAAATGAAATGTTTATTTCAGTTAGATTTTAAATTCTTTTTATAGTATATCTGTTCAGTTAGAATTTTGTTACATTTAAATAATGATACATACATATATTACAGGAAGCACAAGAAAAGAGAAATGAAGCTTCTAAAGAGGAAAAAAATGTAGAGTCAGATGAAGAACCTGTACCAGATGAAACAAATATTGCTGATCTAGTCAAAGCACTACCTCAAGCCACAGATAAAACAACTGACATATTAGATTCTGCTTTAGCTTCTCTGCCATCACGGTTAATAATTTTTATAATTCTGTTTGAAATTATTAAAGTTATTTTTTTAATTCATAAGTTAAAAATAATGAATTTACATGTGAAAGGTGTTATTAAAATATTTTAGAGATATAAAATCAAAAATTATATGGAAACAAATTTACTTAATAATAATTTTATTTTTAATACATTTATTTTCTATTTGTAGGGATGCTGTATTAATATTGCTATCTACTAATCACTTTAATCATTATAGATTGATTTTTCTCACAGCAAACAGTCCTAGTTAAATGACAGATGATTTTATTGTGGCATATTTAAAACACTTACAACAAATCGTTGGTGCACAAGAATAGTGACACAACTCAAAAAAATAGTTCTTCCAGAACAGCCATTTAAAAGTTTCTTTATTTCTGCAAGGCTTTGTCACAATCTTGGATTTTTTAATTTTTCAAATCGTTATTTCCAAAAAAGATTGAAAATTTTAAAAATTCAATATTATGACAAAGCCTTGCAGAAATAAAGAAACTTTTAAATGGCTGTTCTGGAAGAACTATTTTTTTGAATTGTGTCACTATTCTTGTGCACCAATGAAATACATTTCAGGCTAATATAGCATTTTAGCCCCTCTTCACTGCTGTTTAAAAAACATTACAATAAATCATGACATAATATTATAACAAATCATAACATATTGCATAATGTAAATTGCATGATTACTTACTAATGAGAGAATACAAAAAACTAAACCTCTGGTACACAAATTTCAAGACATGGAGTATAAATCAAGTGGAAAAATATCAAACATAGTACTTGTTACATAGCACTTATAAAAATAGTACCTTAAAAGGAAAAATGTATATTAAAAACCATACATCTTTAATAATCTAAGTATGATCTTATTTAATTGATTTACCTTTAAATAAGAAAGTATATATATATATTTTTATAACAAGATAAAAGATATCATTCTTTTCAACATATAAAGAACATATTTGAAAAATGTAACAAAACCTCCCATCTTTGACAAACAAAATATCACAAAATGTATATAATAAACTTAAAAATAATAACAACATGATTCATAAAAACAATCTTGAAAAAGAAGGTACAGTGTATAAATTAGAATGTAGTTGTATTAGCCAAAATTCTACATTGGAGAAACATGCTGCATACTAGAAAAGAGTCAAAGAGCATGAAGTGGCAATATGCCTCAGGTATACTCAATTGCCATGGTATAAACACTCAATTGTTAATAACTGTTAAATTAATAGGAATAAAATTAAAATATTGCACATTGAAAAGGATATTTATAAATGTAAATTTAAAGAGCATGTAGAAATTAAAAAATATTCTAAAGATAAAATTGTAAATATATCAGATGGCATAACCATCAACACCAGATGGTATAAAATAATAGAGGGTGCATCATTACTTTCAGTTTAATAAATATAGATATAATTTGGTCAGATATATTGTATATGGGTGTTATAGTGTTTTAACACAAACATGTATAGTTTTTTAACTTGGTCTTTTGCAAATGTGTATTTTGTTTAATCTCAGTTTTGTAAATCCTTATTTATCAGGGTATATTTTTTTGAATAGTTGTAAAAATAGTAAGAAGTAATTTTTTAATATAATATAAAAAAATTTAATTTATAAATTTTAGTTTTTATACAATTAATAATTTTATTGTACAATATTGGATGTATAATATGATGACACTTAGCATTTGAAATTAATTTTTCATTTAGCATTTGAAGTTAATTTTGTTTGGATTGAAATTCTGGTAGTTTTCTGACTTTTGTTTTATATGTAATGGAAAGTCAATTAAGGTTTTAAAAATAATCCTAAGATAGATTTATTGATTTATAAATCAGTTATGGTTCAGAAGTGAAGATATGTTTTTTTGGGAATAGACTAGACAGTTTCATAATTTAATTTTTTAATTTATAAAATTGAAAGTAATTTATAATAAATGAAACTTTTAAATTTATAATGTTCTATACATTATTTTAATTCTTAACAATAATTTAAGTATTGAATTAGAAAATTATTTTAAAATGGTTGTGCTATTGAATTATTCATTGCTTTTTAATTATTGATAATAAGAACAAATTACTACAATATTTTTCAGAATTTTAATGTCATTTTGTATAGAGGAAAGAAAAATGAAAGATATGTGTCAAAAAGAACAGATTCAATAATCTTACTAATAATAGCAGACTTTAAGTTTAAGTATAAACATGACAGAACTAAGTAATTGAATTCAAGGTCTCACTATAAAATTCAATAATAATAATAATAATAAAGAAAAATGCACATTAAAGTGAGTGCTTTTTGGCAATAGTGTTTTGGAAATTATAAACTGCCTTATTTCTAAATAATAATCTTACATAAGTAACAGTTTAACTGTGTTAATACAATAATAGTACATTATTATGAATAATAATAGAATGCATACATTGACTATGAAAAGTATAATATCAAAAAATATTTTATAAATATAATGTATAAAACTCTTTTCAATTAATGATTACATTTTTTTCAAATACAAATAGAATTTCATTATTAAATTTCATAATGTTCTTTTTCTTACTATTCTTTGAAAAACATACTCAAAATATTACCTCAATAAAATTTTATTGTTTATGACAATAAAATTGGTAATATTTTCAGATTTCTACAGAAGGTCACCTTTAATATTTCTGCAGCTTCATGCTTATATTAACATTAGTAACATTTATTAAAACAGTCTTGCAGCTTGTTCTGCATTATCTCATGAGAGCATGAACCATAGCACAAGTAATTTGAAAATTCTGAAATTCATATGAAAAAATTTAGATTCTATTTAAAGATACTTTTGCTGTTAAAGAATGAATTTGGTATAAATTTTAAACTTATGATTTTAAATTTTTACAGATGGCGAAATTGGGTTGTTCGGGGAATATTTTCAATGTTGATGATTGTTGGTTTTGTATTTATAATCTGGCTTGGTCCTGTAGGTCTGATGTTAACAGTAAGTTTTTATTGTTGTTATTTTATTCTCAAATTTTTATCAAAATTATTTAATATTGAAATTTTTAATATTAATTGCATAAAATTAAAAGGTGAAAGTATGTGTGTTATGAGGTTAGATAATGCAATGCAGTTGTTCAAGGTCACACTGAAGGGCAATAGCTGAAAGTAATTAAAATAAGAGAATTATTGCTTAGATGGCATTGACTGCTATTTCTATTTTGTCTACTTTGTATAAAGTTATTAAGATATAAAGGATGTTAGACTTTTGATGAACATTATTAAATTTATTTTGATTAATGTTTTCTTTATTTGTAATTGTTTTTATTATTTTATATTTCTTTTATGAAGGTTTCATCATTTTGAATTTATTTAATGAAATAATATTTTAGTTTCTTTAATATTAATTTTAGACTATTGTAAATTTTACCTAATTGAAATGTTCATTATTTGTTATTTAATAGAGTAATTATGCTGTGTATAAATATATTATGAAGTATCTTAAGATAAATTTCTTTTGAATCATTTAGAATAATATCTGTATGAGCTTTTAAATAATTTATTAAAATAATCTTTAAAACAAACTTACTCAAGTATTTTGAGTAAATTAATCTTCAGGCTACTAAGATAACATTTAACAAATAACACAAATTCTTTATAAAAATTTAAAAACTAAGTTTTAAAGTTTAGTTTGAAATAGCTTGCAGTTAAACTTGAAGTTGCGTAATCAATAGCTTGCTAATTTTAATTTGTATTTAAAAAAAGTAATTAATTTTCTGAATAAATTTATGCATTTTTAAAGTAATTTAAAAGATTTATGATCAACTAAATGATGCTAAAAATTCAGGTACTTTCCACAGTTTAATATATTGTGGCAACTTTAAAAATATCACACTTGTTACATAATTTCCAGAATTTAAAGGGATTATTTTGGTACTCAGTTGAATTTGTCTAGAATATTTTTGTGCAATTTAAGGTGAATCAGAAAAAGTTGAACGTTTGATTATACAAATCAGAATTTATTATCTGATAGATTAGATTTTATTTTTACGATGATTCCAAAAAAAGAACTTTCATAAGGCAACTACAGGACTTTAACTCTAAAGATAAGTTCATAAAAAATTTTCTAAATATTTTTTGTATCTAATTTAGTTTTATAATTTCTTTATTATAAAAGATGTAATTTATCAATATGATTGATGAAAACATTCAAAACATATTTATTTCATATTTTTTACTTTAACATGAATTTAATTTAGCTTAGCAATCAGTGAAAAAGGTATTTTTCTTCTCTACCTTTAGTTCACCTTGTTTGAATCTCTCCCTCCCTCTTTCCTTTACTTTTCTGTTTGAATAAACTACACATTTCTGTCATTCCTATCATTGTCACTAAGCTTAACATTACCTTCACTGTGTCCCTTGAATTTCTCAAACTGCAATAATGAAAGACGAAAAAAAATTTTAATGCAGTTTTAAATTACTTAATTTTGTAAAGAAAATAAAGTTTCATTTAAAAAATATTGAAAAGAAAAATGACTTTTATTAACTTTATTATTAACTTTTTTTTTATTTTCTATTTTTGAGCTGTTGATATTACCTTGTTGAATATTTTATTTTTATTTGAAATTATTTTATCTGAATTTTTCAATTACATTAAGTAAATATTTGAATTTATGAAAATTTAAAAAAAAATTATGTTAATTTTAAAATCAAAAGATTTGTTTTCATTGTTGTTTAAATATAATTTTACTTTAGAATGAAATTATTTATAACAATGTTTTGCTAGCATTAAATTTAAAAAAAAAATGAAAAAACTATAAATATGATTTAACACATTTTTGAAATAGCAGTTTTTTTTTTGGTGCAAAATGTGAAAGTATTAATTTTTAAATAATCATATAATTAAAATAATCCTCTAATACATAATTTATATTATATTGAATAAAAAAAACTTGGAAACATATATTTATTGATAAAATGTAAAGTTTGTGATGATATAATTTTTTTCTCAGAAGTTTTAATTATGCTAACTACTTCATGCCAGGAAACTGACTCATTCAAATAATTTTTATTATGTTAGATTTATATATCAGTTTATTTCTTTAATTATTATAAAATTATTATTATTATTAAATAGATTATGATAATATTTTCAGTTAATTTTTATAAAATTTTATTTTATAGTTGTATAAACTGAATAATTATTAAATTCCATGAGTAATTCTAAAATGATTTAAAATTTCTATCCAAGAGTTAAAAAGTGTTATTTATTTTCATAGCTTTTAGAAAAGTCAGTGTTAAGAGAAAACTAAAATGCCTGATAATTTTATTTTGATTGTTTTTTGTCGTAAAATTGGAATTGGTAGCATAATGTGATATTAATTTTTACTTATTCTAAAGGATATTTTGTATTTAACCTTATTACTTTAATGTTTTCTAGTTAATAGCATTTAGTTATATAATTAATTTATTTTGGACTGTGATAAATATTTAGATTTTAATTTAAAAGAAATTTGAATTGATATAACCAAAATAATCAAATTATTAAAATGAAACTTCCATTTTTTCAAAATTATTTGAATTCATATCAAAATATGAAGATTATATCAATAATCATAATTATATACTTAAGAGAAGGAAAGCTGATTATCTCATTTTCAAAACCATTATGAACAACATGAAAAGGAGATTAAATAAACAAATGTCTAATCATTTAAAAATGAAACTAATATTTTATTTTCAACTTGAAATATTTAAGATAAATGTGAAAAAGAGGGTTTTTATGACATCAGAAAAGATAAGATAATGCTCTGGTACCAAATCAAAAGGAAAATATCTTGAGTTTTGTTGTTTATAATCTAGTGTTATCTGGTGGATGCTTGAACTAGTATCACTTGACTTCTTTTAGTTTTTGTTTGTTGAAAAAATTATGTAAAAATGAAGAAATTTTATTTATTTTAGCTTAGTTTATTTGTTAACTTTTTGTAATATAAATTATATAAAATTTTATTTTAATCTAAGACTAATATTTTTCAGTAATTGTGTTTTTGTTTTTAGTAAGTTGAATAATAATCATAAATGTATGATCACAATAACTATTTATTTTTATATATTAAAATTTGATATACACAAATTTATTCTAATAATTTATCGCAATGCATGTTCCGTTCAATTTACAACAGAATTCTGACATTAAATACAGCTTTGCATTTCCAGAACTGTAAAAATAAATATTCACCAATAATCTATCTTTTAACATAAATATGTCATTGAAAAAACAACTGGAAAATATTAGATCAATAAATTTTTGCATTTTGGCATCAGTATGAAAGTACTGTACATATTATTATTGGTCTGATGCACTTTGTCAAAGTGGTTGAACAGATTTTGATAGACGATTGAATAAAAATATTGATTAAAAATATATCTGTACTTTTTACAGAGTTGTTTTAAATTTGTGAATTAAAATTAATTTAAACAAATTAGATCTGAATTACTTATGTTTCTCTTGTTTTATCTATTTAAATTTTTTAGAGGATAAGAGATTAGCTATTTATTATCAAATATGATTTATGAGTTTCTTTTTAAGTTAATTTATTAAATAACAGTTGATTTGAATTTTCATATAAATTAATCTTAAATACAAGTATAATCCAGTGATTGTAACTATAATTTTTACTCTTGTGATTATCTGAACTTACTATTACAGCAGTTTCATCTTATTTGTATTACTTAGCACTGCTTATCCTTATTATTTATTAACTGTGTTTTATATAGATTTAGTAATGTATCAAAAATGTTTCTTAGCTTCTTATTTTTTTGAACGTATTTTTTTCTTCTCTTTCACCAACTAAATCCTTATTTTGGATAAAATTACTAAAGATTTGAGTTTTTATTTTGAAATTTTAAAAGTATTTAAGCACGTGTGTTCATTAATATAAAAAAAATGTTTATATATTATAATTTTAATTTGATTAAAAGAAATTTTATGTAGGAATGTTTTTACAAAATTAATTGCTTGTAACAGTGAATAAAACAGCTTAGAAACTGGATTATAATATAAAACATTTACTAAACACCACAACTCCAGCTTGTATAAAATAATTTTAGGTTGGAAAAATTATGTATATAAAAAGTTTTGAGTTATTTAGTTTTATTGAAAATAAGCTAATTGTTTTAGTGATTAATAATCCTTTCATTGGAATTATCCAATTTTTTAATAAGCTTACATTAGAATAATTAAATCTTGATAGTATGGAACAATAGATAATTTGATAAAGTATAAACTATTTGAGATTTATTATAACAGATAATTAATAACTGATAATGATTACACATATATATGTTATCAGACATAACCTTTTAGAAATCAAATTTATAAGATCAGAATTTTCATTCCAAATTCTGATTTTTGTTAGGCTATTTATGCTTTGCATCAGTGAAGAATAATTGGATTTAAGGAAATCCAACAAATTTAAATATTATTTAACATTACATTTAAAAATTTTTCTTTTGTATTAAAAAAATTTAGGTAAATATAAGATGGTTTATTATAAAAATCATTAAAATTATTTATAAATAAACTTTAAAAACAGTTGTTTTTAACTTGGTAAAACAGCCTGAAGTTATAGATTTTAATTGAGCTGAATTCAAAGGAATTATTGTATGAAGTTTTAAGTACAGAAATTTTAGTTTTACTAAATGATTACATTTTGATGCAATTATTTGGTTTCACTTAATTATTTGAAAATATTTAGATTTTTTTTAAATTTAATAAATTGAAACTTTTTGTGATAGTTTTATTTTTGTATTTGATGAAAATATTTTCAAAAGTTTTTGATGTTACTGTTTAGAATTGGATGATTTATATATTTTTAACTACATTTAACAACGAGAGAATAGTTCTAGTTGAAATGATTGTATTTTTATTTTTAGGAACTCTAAAAAAATTATACAAAATGTAATTTTGCTTTGATGATAAATCTTTATATTAAAAGAAGCTTTTTAGTAATGACTTTTTGGCAAGTCATACATATCATTCATTTCTATAAGTTTTTAATTTAATAGAGCTGAAGTAATTTCTTTTTTTATTTGAAATGATCAATTTAGAAGTTATACAATAATAAAAATTAATAAATGCATTAAAGAATTAAGGCAGAAAGTAAAATTTGTAAAAANAAAGTAAAACTTTTTAAATTTTCAGTTGCATGTTCCTCTATCCCTATTTACTCTGTTAAAATGACCTTGTTTAATTAACGCTGTTTCGTTTAGCGCTTTGTCATCTAGGAACGCATCCCCCGTGCTAAGAAGGGACTTACTGTAGAGTATTTTTGAGGATGAACTTCACTGGATGATTGACAGTATTGATGTATTAATACACACCACTAATCAATCTATGAAGCTTCTCCCTCACCTAGATGATGTAATATCCTGAGTCCAATACTGAATGCATGATAGATAATGCTGATTCATTAATCTAACTTTTTAGCATACTCAATTTGTAAATAAAAAAATAAATTAAACTTTTTTATTTAAGGCAGAAAGTTTTCATCTGTTAAATGTTTTGTTTGTTAAATAAAGATCCTACTCTATAATGACTATTGAAACCAAAGAGCTATATCAAGATTCTTTGAGTATTATTTATTAAAGTTTCTCTTAATAACGCAGTACACAAATAATGGCGCAAAATGTTATAAAAATAACAATCGATAAATTATTAAAATGTGTCAGGTGTTGTAGTTGTTCACCAGCTGGTGGGTACGAGTATTTCAGCCGAAACTTCCCTCCCCCTAAGCGTATGTAGTAATATGCTATTGAATTTATACCAAAGAGCTATTTGAAACTTCTGAAAGGAGGAAAGATTACATAATTTTGAAAATAGATATTGGATTTGAAAATATATTTTGAAAATAGATATTTGTTAAAGTTTAAATTACAGATAAAAATTTAATGAAAAAAATGATTATTACAGTATAACCTTGAATAAAACTTGAATAACCTTGTAATAAACATCCATAAGTCCTAAAGTTATATTAAAGCCAAATGATAGGAAATTATAGCAGTAATATAGTATATAATGATCTAATTTGGCAATTGTTTTGCTTGAAGTTTGCTTTTAAATAAAGGATACTTAAAAATAATATAAAAATAGTTCATTACTGATTTTTATATTTAAGTTTTTTCATGTTATTATAATAAAAATTTAACATATTTCAAGTTATTTCAACTTAAAATATGAAAATTTTTTTTCAGCATACTTTTTTTTTATTAAATATTGAAATTAACTTATTTAATTATACAAAAATAACATTGTTTTGTATAAGAAAATGTATTATATTCAGTGTAAATAGTTTTGTTTTAGCATTTCATATTTTTTAAAATGTACTTAATTTAGAAAAAATGTTTTAAAATTATTTTCAGACATTGTTGATACAAGTCAAATGCTTTCAAGAAATTATTTCAATTGGATACGCTGTTTATCGAATACATGGATTGCCGTGGTTTCGATCACTCTCATGGTATTTTCTCATCACTTCAAATTACTTCTTTTATGGAGAAAGCATGGTTGATTATTTTGGAGTCCTCTTGAGTCGTGGTGTTAGTAATGCATTTATATTACATATAAAAATGATGTCCAACATTTCATTATTGATTAATTTTTGTTTCAGTTAATGAGATCTAGAAATAAAAAAGTTGTTTTAAAAATCTATAAATAGTGTAAGTCAGTTTTTTCTACAGTATTTAATAATTTTATTTTATTTTCAGTTTATAAAAAATTACTATTAATTTATATATCTTTTTTAATGATAAATAATTATGATAAATCCTTATGCAATACTTTTTAAATGAACTGAACAAAGATGATATACAAGAATTTTTATTATACTAAAACAAATAGGAATTCAACTGGCCCTGAATAAGAATAACTAATATATAATTTGATAAATTATTAAGTAGTAGATGAATTATTGGACATCAACTGAACCATTGAAATTTCATTTATTACAATTTTTCCATTAATTAAGTTTTCACTAAAAATTTAGAATTTTATGAGACCACTTGTCACTTATCATCGGTTCATCTCATTTTGTCTGTATATAATTGGATTTGTATGGTTCGTACTCAGTCTCGTGAAGAAGTATTATATGAAACAATTTTCTTTGGTAAGTTATAAAAGATGATTTCATATTGAAATGAATAGAAACGAAAAACTTGAAATAATAATTATTTTATCATTTATATAGTTTGCATGGACACACGTCACATTATTGATTGTAGTCACTCAGTCTTATCTCATAATGCAAAATTTGTTTGAAGGACTTATTTGGTACGAAAATTATTTATATTTATACTTCTGAGCTCTTTTNATTTAAAGATACTTTTGCTGTTAAAGAATGAATTTGGTATAAATTTTAAACTTATGATTTTAAATTTTTACAGATGGCGAAATTGGGTTGTTCGGGGAATATTTTCAATGTTGATGATTGTTGGTTTTGTATTTATAATCTGGCTTGGTCCTGTAGGTCTGATGTTAACAGTAAGTTTTTATTGTTGTTATTTTATTCTCAAATTTTTATCAAAATTATTTAATATTGAAATTTTTAATATTAAATCTGTATAATACAATGCTTAGTAAACAAGAAATAAATAATGCTGAAAAAAACTCAAAAATTTATTTATTGTTGTTAGTTGAATCATGTATTTTAATTAAATTTTTTTTTATTTATTTATGCATACTGGAGATTTCCATGATGTGGGGAGCCAAAACCATCTCCCAAATACAAATCACATAATTACATTGAACATAAAATTACGAAAACAGAAATACATAACATCTGTCACGGAAAAGAAAAATAATACCAATAAAATAACTTTAATAATAAATATTAATAGTTTAATTATTAATAAGAATACTTCTTACCTATAAAAAAGAAAATATTAATATCGATGACAACACTGACAGATATTCCCAAACCTCACCGTTGGTAAGACCAAATTTAAAGCATAGGGAACATGCCACCTAAAACAAAAGATCAACAGACTTTATTAGAAAACAAAATACTTTAAATTGAAAGCAAGGTTCCAATAAAATCTTAAGGAAAAAAGACCTGGAAGGAGGAATGCAAAAATTTCTTCTCGTAACACCTTAAGACGTCCACAATTAGCCAAAATATGCCAGGCATCCACAGTTTCCTCTTTCACACAAAAATTACACAGTTCTTTAGAGTAATTATTTAAAAAATACAGCAAATTACACCTTTCCTGTATAAAAAGAGACAAAGTAATAAGTGAAACATCTTGATTATATAAAGAATTATCAAAGAAAGTAACATTTAGATCCTTATACCAACAATTATATATGCCATTATTTATTTTTACATTTATGCCATATAAAAAAATTATCAAAAATGTTAACAAGGAGAAGAGACCAGTCCATCAAGTTTAAATTATCATTTGTAACAATCATGGTACTGTATTAATTTTATAAGTGCCAATAAGATTACGTGTCCAACGTATAGAATTCTTACCAAGTAAGAATTTCAGGCAAACTTTACTCAAACGATAGTCATCAAGATTATAAATCCTAATGATCCAATTTCTTATCCTACTAAATATCATAAGTTTCATAGGAGTCAGGTACATTCCATCATAGTTAAATAACCTGGTGTACAATGAGGTAAATGAAAAAGGTTTTTAATGAATTCAATCTGTATACCATCACCATTAACCAAATGAAAACCACAAATTACTGAGGCATATAACAAGGAGTTGTCCTCTTTGTTGTATGCACAGTATTCAATAGATGTAAATAATAATTCAAATTATGTAATCTGGCAGATTTCCCTAACTGAATAATTTTATTAATCAATAATCTAGCATGAATTTTCTTATTGATATAATGCATTCAAAATAAACCATTAGACAAAAAAGTAACACCCAAATATTTGTAGTTAGAAACAACTTGAATTGAAGAACCCTTAAACCACCATTTAGTTGTTCTTGCATTCTTATCATTTCTATGAAAAACAACAACCTTAGACTTATTCAAATTCAGTTTTAGACCATTTTTATCTAAATAAATTGTTAATATATCAATTTATCTTTGATGCCCAACTACAGAATCAGCTAAAGTTACAATATCATCTGCATAAACAAGTATTTTAATTTGGAAAACTTCTATTTTTATACCATCACCAGAAGAGTTAATAATACCAAAAAGATCATTCAAGAAAATACTAAACAAGATTAGATTCAAAATACAACCTTGCTAAACACCAAGAGTGTTTAGCAAGTTTGTATTTTGAACCCAATCTTACCATAAGTTTTCATACAAAGCAGCGAGTAAAGATACAAACTTATAACTGAAACCATAACGTAACTTCTTTAACCACAACAAATTCCTACAAACCCTATGAAACAGAGAAGATAAATTGACTAAAAAGGCATAACCTTCCTACGTTTCCTTAAGAAAGTTTATTGAATAACTGTGTATAAAACAAAAATGCTAATCAGTGTAGAATAACTAGCCCAGAATCTTGCATGATTTCATATCTTTATCTTCTAACCATTGAGTCAATATTAATTAAATTAATTAAACCTACATTTATGATGTAAATTTGCAGAAAAATATAGATTTTGATGATAAAATTTTATGATAAACTAATTCATTTTTTATTCTAAATGAACATATATACATATATACATACATATTCAAATTAAAGATGAATTTCTTACAGGAAGAATCTTGATTGAATTATTATAAACTTTTTGTTATCATTTGAATGAGTTGAGGTAAATTATATACTAAAAATTTCCTCTAATAGTTGGTTAGATCTGGTTGTGAAACTGGATACATTAAGCAAAAATTATATTTTTTGTAGGAAAAGAAACCAATTAATTCTACAGTGAAAATTAATTTTACCTGAAAATATTTTCAAATAAAAGGTTGCAATAGGATTTTAAAAACTGTGATTAATAAAATAAATTTATTATGATATATTGCTAAGTATCACTGACTAAACAGTTTTGAGAGACTTCAAATGCTTTTTTTTTTTTTTTTTATATATTGTTGGAAGCTGTCTTAGGTTGCAATAGATCATTTATATTAATTCAAATGCATTATTACTGAGCTTTTACTTGGAATGTTTTCTAAACATATAAATACTAAGTGATATTTAAAAAAATAAAAGAAAGTAATTATATGCAAAAACTTATGACAATGAAATTGAAGTAAAAGTGGCTTATTAATGATGTACGATAATGTGCATTTAATGAGTTAATGATGAAATGATGAAACATTTTAGAAAGAATATTTTGAATATATCATTCAAAAATTGATATGTAAATAAATAAGGCAACAATGTGCAAGTAAAATTTTCTAATAAAATAATTATAGAATTCAGTAGTGCATGTGGAAAAAATTGAAAATTTTCCATGTTTATCTTTTATAGTGAAACAGAGCTGTGCAGCAAATGGAATTTTTAAACATGAGTGAAAAAATAAATAGTGTACATTTAAAACAATTTTCTGGAATCTATGATTAATTTACTGTATTTGAGAAAATAAATATTTTATTATTGAAAATTTCATTTGTGTAAAATGTAGAAAATGTTTTGATTATTTTTGTATTTTCCAGAATATTTTTAAAATTAGAACTATTCATAGGAGTGTTTTATTCTCAAATAATATGGATTATTATGCTATCTAATGTTATCAGAATATTTTATTAAATTCTGTACATTATCTTTTGCTGTGTATATTGATATACAAAATATGTTTATAAAATCAAGACTTGTTTGTTTCAAAAAATAAAAATAGATTATTTGAAAATAACATACTAGTTATCCAGTTATTTGAAAATAATATATTATATCTCAAATTTTACAAGTTAATTTGAGTTATATAGTAGATACTCAGTTTGACAGACTAATTGGAGGAAGTGTATAAGGATGTGTACTATGGTTGAAAATTCATTAAATTGAATGCATTTTAAAAACATGTTTATAAAAAGTTTAGTTATACAGGATGTATTAAAATGTTGTTATAATGTATAAGTATGAATAAAATACAGTAAAACCTCACTTATATGGGTGGCCATTCTAAGGGTATACAATTTCTGGTCTCATAAATGAGGTGGTCACCTAGGTCAGTGTTTTACAACTGCTAGTCTATGAAAAAATTTTGCTGGTCAGCATAAAAATATTTGACTGCACTGATGCTGGTGCAGTTGGTTACAGATGACATTTAAATAGCAATCTAGAGCAGCAGTTGCCAACCTTTCTGACATTACAGGCCACTAAACTCACAATTTTGAATCCTGCCGACCACTATCTTGAATTTTTTAAAATGATACAAGCATGTCTAGAATAATGATTATAAAAGTTCCATTTTACTTTATTAATATGAAATTTATTGATTTAACTGTAACAAATTTGTTACTGCTTGTTTGAAATAAGTTTATGGATTCTTGGCTCTTTTCCACAAAGGTCAACAATTGCACTCACATTATTGATTTATTGACATTGTTATTTATTAATAACAGTCATTTCATGTTTGGTTTTATATTCAAATAAAAAACATCCAGTAAGTGAGAAAAAGCAACTAAGCATTTTGTATTTCTTTTGTAATATTTTGCATAACCTTTAGCTGATCAATGTCCAAATTTCTCCATGACCACCAAAATTTTCTTGCAGACCAACAGTGGTTCATGGACCACCAGTTGACAACCACTGATTTAGAATTACTGTACATACTTTGTTATATGCAATAACTCTAGATAAGCATGATAAATAAGCATAATTCATAGTTGCATTTAATTACTGGTCCATGTAAAATTATCCATAATTTTAATAGTCTGCAATGAGAAGGTTGAGAACACTGACCTAAGTGATGTTATGAAAAAATTGACCTACTGAATTGCACAGAAATGCTAAATCATGCTAAAAGTTTAATACAGAATATAAAAGTAAATGAAAAAGAATTCACATAGTTTACATATTTTGCAATATACAATAATTCAAACTCTTATACAGGGTAATGTACTGTACAGTACATCACATTAAATAGTAAGTAGTCAGAGCTTTCTATAAAAAGAACTGTTGGCTGAATCTCACTCAAACTTGTATATACATGTTCTTAGTATTTAAATTATTGCGGCATTTTATTGATTCATACATAATACGATTATTTACAAACATGAACCAATCAGAAAAAGGTGGTAAAAAGGTGTACTTTCTTTAAATCTATGTTTGTTTGATACAATTTTGGAAAAAAATATAACATCACGGATGCCATAGGCAATATCAGCTTGGCTTGGCAAGAATTAACCAATAAATGCACGAACAAAATGTGGAATAAGTTATGGCTGAAGGTGTCCAAGAATTCTCAATGAGAAGTGCCTATCGCTGTATCGTTAGGTTGATCAAACTCAGCCTAATCGGTACAGCAGGACTAGGAGATGTAGACGAACAGGATATCACCGGTTTCTGGTGAAAGTCTTATCAACGATGATTTTCGAGAACTGGGAGAACAAGGAATTCATGTGGAACTGGAAAATAGAGATTCTGAAAATGAAGAATCCAAAAAATTTCTGTACAAATTTCCTTAGTAGAAGTTGGTAACAATAGCCAAAATCATTGATCAAACTTTAGCGAATGATCCAGATTTTGAAAGGAGTGCAAAAGTAAAACAAGGCGTTTTGGATGCAATCTTCTGCTACTGACATTTGCTTAAGGAAAGAAAAAAGCAACAATGAAACTTCACAACTTTATTGCAAAAGAACAAGTATTTCAGAAAAGTCAGGAAAAATTCGTCACGAAAAATGAATTATTAATATAGAAAAAGGAACTAATTAATATATTATTATAAATTTCTGTGTGAATATGTTTATGTATTATTTAACATATTATTATACAAATTAATATAAAAATAATTTAAAATTAAAGTAAAACTTTTTAAATTTTCAGTTGCATGTTCCTCTATCCCTATTTACTCTGTTAAAATGACCTTGTTTAATTAACGCTGTTTCGTTTAGCGCTTTGTCATCTAGGAACGCATCCCCCGTGCTAAGAAGGGACTTACTGTAGAGTATTTTTGAGGATGAACTTCACTGGATGATTGACAGTATTGATGTATTAATACACACCACTAATCAATCTATGAAGCTTCTCCCTCACCTAGATGATGTAATATCCTGAGTCCAATACTGAATGCATGATAGATAATGCTGATTCATTAATCTAACTTTTTAGCATACTCAATTTGTAAATAAAAAAATAAATTAAACATTTTTTTTTAAGGCAGAAAGTTTTCATCTGTTAAATGTTTTGTTTGTTAAATAAAGATCCTACTCTATAATGACTACTGAAACCAAAGAGCTATATCAAGATTCTTTGAGTATTATTTATTAAAGTTTCTCTTAATAACGCAGTACACAAATAATGGCGCAAAATGTTATAAAAATAACAATCGATAAATTATTAAAATGTGTCAGGTGTTGTAGTTGTTCACCAGCTGGTGGGTACGAGTATTTCAGCCGAAACTTCCCTCCCCCTAAGCGTATGTAGTAATATGCTATTGAATTTATACCAAAGAGCTATTTGAAACTTCTGAAAGGAGGAAAGATTACATAATTTTGAAAATAGATATTGGATTTGAAAATATATTTTGAAAATAGATATTTGTTAAAGTTTAAATTACAGATAAAAATTTAATGAAAAAAATGATTATTACAGTATAACCTTGAATAAAACTTGAATAACCTTGTAATAAACATCCATAAGTCCTAAAGTTATATTAAAGCCAAATGATAGGAAATTATAGCAGTAATATAGTATATAATGATCTAATTTGGCAATTGTTTTGCTTGAAGTTTGCTTTTAAATAAAGGATACTTAAAAATAATATAAAAATAGTTCATTACTGATTTTTATATTTAAGTTTTTTCATGTTATTATAATAAAAATTTAACATATTTCAAGTTATTTCAACTTAAAATATGAAAATTTTTTTCAGCATACTTTTTTTTTATTAAATATTGAAATTAACTTATTTAATTATACAAAAATAACATTGTTTTGTAATAAGAAAATGTATTATATTCAGTGTAAATAGTTTTGTTTTAGCATTTCATATTTTTTAAAATGTACTTAATTTAGAAAAAATGTTTTAAAATTATTTTCAGACATTGTTGATACAAGTCAAATGCTTTCAAGAAATTATTTCAATTGGATACGCTGTTTATCGAATACATGGATTGCCGTGGTTTCGATCACTCTCATGGTATTTTCTCATCACTTCAAATTACTTCTTTTATGGAGAAAGCATGGTTGATTATTTTGGAGTCCTCTTGAGTCGTGGTGTTAGTAATGCATTTATATTACATATAAAAATGATGTCCAACATTTCATTATTGATTAATTTTTGTTTCAGTTAATGAGATCTAGAAATAAAAAAGTTGTTTTAAAAATCTATAAATAGTGTAAGTCAGTTTTTTCTACAGTATTTAATAATTTTATTTTATTTTCAGTTTATAAAAAATTACTATTAATTTATATATCTTTTTTAATGATAAATAATTATGATAAATCCTTATGCAATACTTTTTAAATGAACTGAACAAAGATGATATACAAGAATTTTTATTATACTAAAACAAATAGGAATTCAACTGGCCCTGAATAAGAATAACTAATATATAATTTGATAAATTATTAAGTAGTAGATGAATTATTGGACATCAACTGAACCATTGAAATTTCATTTATTACAATTTTTCCATTAATTAAGTTTTCACTAAAAATTTAGAATTTTATGAGACCACTTGTCACTTATCATCGGTTCATCTCATTTTGTCTGTATATAATTGGATTTGTATGGTTCGTACTCAGTCTCGTGAAGAAGTATTATATGAAACAATTTTCTTTGGTAAGTTATAAAAGATGATTTCATATTGAAATGAATAGAAACGAAAAACTTGAAATAATAATTATTTTATCATTTATATAGTTTGCATGGACACACGTCACATTATTGATTGTAGTCACTCAGTCTTATCTCATAATGCAAAATTTGTTTGAAGGACTTATTTGGTACGAAAATTATTTATATTTATACTTCTGAGCTCTTTTCTTTTTTTATTAATTAGATTATATAGTATTTAATATTTTTGCTGAATGGTATAAAAATATATTGTTAACAGCAAAGGTTAAAGAATGATAAAATTTTTTATATTGTTTTTTTATTTTTGTATTTCAATAATTTTAAAATATATTCTTAAAGATATGTAACTAGTAAAAATTAAAAGATTTTGTAATTTAATTTGTAATGTGTAATTTACTATTACTAATAATTTTCTGTTTTAGGTTTATTGTACCAGTTTCGATGATCATTTGTAACGATGTTATGGCATATATATTTGGATTCTTCTTTGGAAAAACTCCTCTCATTAAGCTCTCTCCAAAAAAGACTTGGGAAGGTTTCATTGGTGGTGGTTTTGCTACAGTCATCTGGGGAATACTGGTCATTTATAATTGTTTGTTTTTCATCATTTTGAAAGTAATTTTATTTATATATCAAAAATTATTTAAAATATTTTTCTTATTAGATATCTCACTTATTTTGCCAATCTAAATATTTTGTGTGTCCAATTGAATATTCCGAAGCCCTGGAACACATGACTCTCGACTGCACTCCATCTCCTCTCTTCCAGCCAACAAAATATAAATTTCCAATGTTCATTCAAGTTATCTGTACTTGTGTATGTATTAATGAATTATTTCTTCTGATGAATTAGTTATAAGTGTTTATTGTTTAAATATGATATATATAAAGATTTTAATTCAAATCAATATACAGTTTAATCTGATTACAAAGTCATCCATGGAAACGACAATTTTTTGACGTATAACCAAGTGTCATTATCTGCAGGGTCATAATTTCAGTCCCATAAAAAGTACCAAGTTGTTTAAGAATCTATTATAAAATCCATTCTAATTTAACATTGTATATATTACCATAAAATTATTTATTAATGGTAATACAGTATACTGTATCTATTATGGTAATAATAATTTATTATCATATGTATAAAAGTGCAAATTAAATGTTTAAATCAACTTTATTTACATTATTATGTCTCAGTTTACATTGATGCAATTAAAAATTTCAAAAATTATGTTTTACAAGAAATTTCTATTTGTCTTAAGTTTCAATAATGGTGACATTTCCAGTTTTGAGAATAATGTCAAATCAAAAGGCAACAAAAGGTTAAACTAATGTATGCCAATTAAAAAGACACAATAACAATATTCACTTAAAAAAGTCAGTTATTTAGATTGTAGGTTTTTTCACCTAAAAATTGTTTATCAATGTCATTTTCTAAATCTAAATCTATACTTTATTCATTATTTTTTATGAAGTTTTCCGAAACCTGTAAAACATTTTCAATAATCTTACTGCATTACATGCTTCCCTGGTTGATGGCACTTCATTTTCTCTGTCTGATGTTTTATCTTCATCATACTCATTTTTTTCATCTGAAGATTTAATTTGCTCAACATTATCTACATCTGTATAAAATAACTATGCAGACTAATTGATTGTAACGTTGTTTAAAGATGTGACAAACCTCACCCCACCGAAGTCAGGTGGTGAGAGTATCACTCACAGTCGTTCTAGGAAGTGGACTCTTACCTTAGAAACTGAACACGTAGTACATGTATTGTATTTTCTTTGTTAAATAAAATTCGTAATCTAATTTTGTAAATCTGGGAGTGCTTTAAATATGATGTTAAAACAGGGTTTTATGTCGTTACAAATGGGTTTTTTAACATTATCTAGTATAGTAAAATCATGGGACCGATAAAAATTTGACATTATATTAGGATTGTCATTACATCTGATGATGTTATAATTGGGTTAAACTGTATAAAATAAGAAATATTTCAAGGAATTTACTAATTATGGTCTTGTGTAATAAATCAGGAAATAACTGATTATTTTTGTTATAATTTTTTTAATAATATGATATAAATTTATTGTGAATGAGCTATATTTAATACAGTAGATTCTGAATAACTTAAAATGGAAGGAATAGAGAAAACTTTGAGTTATTATTTTAATGAGATTATAAATATCACAATACAAGCAATATAGTTAGTCTTAAATACACTATATTTTATCATTGTTTAGATACCTATGGGTACAAAATAACAAAACATTGATAATGTTAGTGAAAAGTAAGTCTGTTATATAAGTTTGTTGTGATTATTCATTGCTTCCTGCTCAACAATGTTTTTGATATGGTTGACCACCTTGAAAGCATTTTGTTTTATGAATGCAGTTTCTAAAAAGCTCCTTGAAAGCTTGTGAACTTTTTAGCAAAATATAGCAAAGTAAGCATTATATTTTACAATTTGAAATAATTGAAACTGCTATATCATCATTCCATTACAATTTATTAAGGTTTTTGGGCTTTTAAGATATTGCAGTGACTTCAGAAAAAGTTATCATTTATCATAGGCATGTAAAATTACAAAGATCTGTTTGATCATCTGGATCAGTAGTACTATTTAGCATCTCCATATCAAAATATAAAATTTCTTTAGTATGTAGATAGTTGCAATATATTTTATTTAAATGACTTCCATGCCATAGGTACAGTACAGTGTCAGCATCCCTATGATTGATATAAAATAGGGATGCTGACACCTTACCTACAGTATGGAAGTCCATTTATGAAATGTAATTAAGAACTTGGTCATGTTTTAATTATTTTTGCTTATATTAATCTCTATTTTTAGCACTTTTATGCCATTTTGTTTTTGTTTGTTAATTTTAATTTACTATACAGTCGACCCCTCTATAATTACGGTCCCTATAAAACTACGAAAAAATATAGTGGATAACAAACATTTCCAAAAATATTTTGGAAATGTTTATGTTATCCGACTCAACATTTCCAAAAATATTTTGGAAATGTTGAGTCGGATTAGTGTAGAATCAATTAATTTTATGGAAGAAAACCTTTCAATCAGCCGTAGTCCGTAAACTTGACACGTGTCGGGCTGTGATTGGAACGACTTGTAAGAAATTGGATTCCTAATAAATTGGAATGTATCTATATCTTATAGGGGGTCGACTGTACAAATGCTTTCTTTGAATACTGTTTAATTTTTACTGTTACATTCAATACATTTATGTCTGTCTTTATATTTAAATTCACTTAATTCACTGAAGAAGGCCTATGATATTAGGTAAAAAATGTTCTGATTTATTAAATTTACTGCTGGATACAAGGTGCTCTGTTTATTCTGTCTTATTCTCTGGTTAGATCTTATTTATTTGTAAGTAAAGATGTGCAGTAAAGACAGACTCCAGGTATGAAGACATGTTCCATTGTTTCCACAATAGATACAATTGACAAAATTGGGACAATTGAAAAAATGTCATATGTTTCTATTTTACTACTAATTAAAGAATATTTTTTTCTAATTTTGTTTAAAAGTCATGTAACAACTTTTTTAAATAAAATATCAAAACTGTAATTAGCATCATTTCTGTTTCACTTAAGTTGAATTCATGCTTAATGAACTACATATATTTTCTTGTATATTGTGTACAAAAATTATCTTGATAATCGTCAATTTAAGAAAATAATAAAAAAGTTTATTAAAATCATATAAAATTATCAGTGTGCATATAATTTAAAAACATAATGAAATTTTTAATTTTTCAGTTGAATTTACCTACAACAATCACAATATATCCATTTATCTTGCATTCATTGGCTCTCTCACTCTTCAGTTCTATTATTGGACCATTTGGTGGATTCTTTGCTAGTGGTTTCAAGCGTGCTTTTAAGGTTAAAGTAAGTTTTGTTTCTTTTTTTTTTATCTGCTTAATGTTTTAGTATATGTTTTATTAATTACTTTGTTTTCTTATTAGGATTTTGGAGATATAATTCCAGGACATGGTGGAATCATGGATCGCTTTGATTGTCAGTTTTTGATGGCAACATTTGTTAATGTATACATTCATAGCTTCATCAGGTTAGTAAATTAAAGAAATATTTTATTTATTTACTGAAATAAAGTTTGAAACAAAATATAATATTTCAAATTCATAAAATTATTTTTACAGAGCTCCAAATCCACAAAAATTACTTCAGCAAATATATTTATTAAAAAATGACCAGCAACTACAAATTTACCATTCTCTGAAAGATTCTCTGACCGCACGTGGCTGGTTGCAATAATATTTCCACATTAAACGCCGGGCAGGAACTGGCATTCTACAACTTTCCCTGAGGGATGTTATAACTATATATCTATGTTATTGTATATAGATGAAAAGTGCATCGTGTTTATTTGAAATTTCACTGCTAGACATTTGTGAGTGACGTGTCTCTTTAAGTGTACCAATGTAATCCATTGGTAAGATGCCTGTTTTCTTGGCATAGGAATTTTATTTTGTACACTGAACAGCATAGATCTTTCTGCTTTTCTTCACATAATGAAGTTTATTAGTTGCACCAGAAATAGCTTCTGCAATTTAAAAGCATTACTTATTTATATATACATTTTAATGCATGAATATAGATTTGATGGTTATGCTTAAAACAAAAATTTTTGACAAATGAAATAACTATTGATTCAATATTATGTGAATGGATTGTTGTTTTGCTATTTGTATAGTGTCACAAAGTGTATTTTTAACATCTTTTGAAAGTAGTAATGTGCAATAATTTGTAAGCCTAAGTAATTGCAATGCAATTGTATGCCATCTAAACATGTAGTTGCATTCACTTATTTTCTTTTCTTTTCTTTAAGCAATTGTACTATACTTCAGCAAAACAAAAAAACATGAAATATAGTTAATATATACAAGACTTAATTTACATCGTAGTAAGACAGCTTTTTAAATGGAAAGATGTTTTATTGATGATGTGCATTGTTCCACAATGTTATATAATTTATGTTTTGAGATGTAAATTTATGCAAAGTAATTTTTTTTATTTGAGTTTTATTACAGTGTTATCTTAAATTACAATTTTTTAAAGAACTTGTTTTACACACAATTTTTAAAGCACTGGTTGTGCACACAATTTTTTAAAGCACTTGTTGTGCACACAATTTCTAAAGCACTTGTTGTACACACAATTTTTTAAAGCACTATGTTTAAAGCATAATTTTTAAAGCACTAAACTGTAATATAGTTTTATGCAAACTTCTAAAATTATGAATAAAATTTGCATATATTTAAGTCGTGGGTTCGGATTCTGTAGAAAACCGTACTGAGTCCGAATCCACGAGGATCATCAATGGTCGAGTGGTTANTTTATGTCAGATTTACATGTATTTTCTTTTATAGCACAGGTTTATATTTATATGTAATTTATCTACTTTTTATCTATTTGGAAAAAAATTAAGGGTCATTATACAAACCTGGAACCAGTTATATAAAATTTCTAGTAAAATTTATTTAATCTGCTATACTTCAAAAAGATGTTGACCTATTGCATATTTTATCTGTTGCAGCTGTTCATTTCAAGATATTCCTAATAATAAAATGTGCATTATATACAAATAATGCAAATTTTATATGTAGTATTTTCTCCATTATACAGTTATGTCATCGTACAATATGTTGTTTTAGATTAAATTTAAATGTTATTAAAGATGATTGAAGTTACTTTTGTTGTTGTTTATGTAATTAATTTTCTTTATAAATCAGATGAATTTAGTATTTAAAATTCTTACACAAAACATTGTAAAACATCTTTTATTCTAATGTGGAATGTTTTTATATGTAATGCAGCAGAGTTTATCATCATCATTTTAATATTAAATAAAACATTTAATTGATTATTACAGAACTTTAATATGACAAGGAATAGTTAAACATAATAAGCTTGAAATTTAAAAATGCAAGTAAAACATAAATAATGAGCTTCATATAAATTTTTAAAATAGTTTCACTAAAATTAACATACAGATTTGGCTGCTATAAATTTATTTCAGGTACAAAAGTTTTTAATCACTCAATTGGAGGGAGGTTGTTTTAACAAATTATCACTTTCAAATCTTTTGTTTTGATTTTAGACATTGTTATCACATTAGTTTAGATAATCTATTGTTTAGTTACTCTTATTTTTTGTTTGTTAATTTTAGTGAATCTTTTTATCATCATTTATTATTTCAATATCTTGTTCGACCTTTGGCTAAACCTTGATTATGTCTTGGTTGTGAGTTGGTAGCCAAGTCATGACTATGACTCAGATTCATGAGTTGAACTTGTAAAATTCTGCCTAATTTAAAATATTCTTTGATTATATTAAGTCAGTAATGCTTGATTCATTTAGTAGTGACAATTCCATTCTATCAAAACTGAGTTCTTAACTTTTGTTTTTCATTATCATTGTGGTTGAAAATAATATTTTTTATCTGTGATATATATATAGTAAGTACTGTATTCCAAAACACTAATTTTAGTTTTCTTAGCCACTTTGTATGATGCAGTGCTCTTACAAATAAAACAAACTGAAACAGAGCAAACTCTTTATTCACACAAAAAAATATAGTAACACCTCCAGTGTCAATGAATCCAACTCTTATGGACATTACAACACAAGACTACTGATTACTACTCATTATAATGAATACCTGACTAGCATTTTTTCTCTAGTGTACCTGATATATTTTCTGTATATTCAGAACATCTAAAATGTTATTTATTAGTGTTAATTAAACATTTATAATTAATGATTTTCTGTTAAAACATTTTAAGTATCCAGGCAACAAACTATTTGGAATGGTGCATGAAACATGACCATAGTGAATTATAGATTGCATCATTAATATCAATTCAAACGTTACAAAAATTTCAGAATAATTTGATAGTAAATTACAGTAATACCTAGACTTGTGCGATTTTCAAATCTAGTCGATTCATCTCTTGTTTGAGCGCCATACAGCTCTCAATTACTCACTCCCCTACACTATTGTTCAGCTTACATGTTTGGACGTGTCGCACGGAATCAACACATAGCTACAATTTATTTTGTGTTGTTTATTTCTGTGTTTGTTATATCTATGGAGACTTGAGAGACTCTATGTGGTGATTTCTTGTAATCGTGAACGAATCAAAAGACTAGATAAGATTAATGAGGTTACATACATCCGACTTGGATTTTACACAAGTTGTGAAATTATACCCAGACTTGTGGTTATCGCTCGGTCCCACCTATCGCACAAGTTCAGGGTATCACTGTAATTTCCATTTAAATGTTCCATGAAATGTAAATCTATCACTATAGGATAAATTTATTGATGATTTGTTTTTGATGTCATCTGTTTCTTCAGGAAAACATCTTAGCATTGAAAAATTTAAATGAGAAGCAATTAACTAGGATACTTTCTCAGAAAAAGCTTGCAAGTTTTCATAGTTCAACTTCCATATAGGTTTTTTTTAACTCTTAAGCTTAGATCGAACATCTTTATTGGCATTGTAATATTTAATAAGTTTCGTATTCATTATATTATCTGCAGGTTGTATAGTCAATGTTGATGACTGAATATTTCAAAAGTAGTCATGCTATGATTATTTTTAATTTCTAAACAAAAATCAGTATAAACAAAGATTGCTTTATTGAAAAAAATTACACAAGTCAGTAAAAATGTAAAAATACATATTTAATTTATTCATCTGAGTCTTCAATTTTCGGTGCCAAATAGTATCGTATGTAGCCCATATCTTCAATTTTGTACTCGACAACTAAAAAAAATCTCGAGTTTAGAAAATAGTTATACCACCACTCAATCTAATTGTAATGTTAAACTTACCTAGTGGAACATCTGCAGAGATGGAAATCTGCACTTGAGGAGATAATGGGGTTGCCTTAGTAAAAGAATTCAAATATCTTAGAGCAAAAGTCAGTGACACCGGTTCTTGCATGTCAATAATCACTGCTTCTTCTTCTTTATCAACATTAGCAGTCTGAGAAAGTTTGACATTTCCTGAAAACAGTTAATAGGGAAGTTATTTTTGTTTTGATTGAGTAGATAGATACATTGTAAACATTTATTTAATTAAGGGAAAAAAAGCCTATAATTTTTCAATATTCCCACAATTTAAGACTCGCAGATGAACACCAACTTCAAGTGTTCACTTTGCCTTTTATATGAGTGATGAGAACTTACTGTCCTATACTGCTTAAATAAAATATAACAATGCCAATGATATTCTACACATCAAAGCTAAAGAAAAAATAAACATTAAAATGTCTGACCTCAGACATCTGTGAAAATTTAATATAAAATACTGAAAAATGGATTTTAAGGGAAGTGTAACATTAAAAAAAACCAAGTCTTACAATAGAAATATGGCAGGAACCTAAACATTTTTGGATTATGTTTTCACTTAATATATAAATGATACTCGAAAGAATTTTGGTCTTTTTAAAACTACTATAACTATCTTACATTTTATAATGGGACAGTAGTCCATCTATCAATTTAAATTAACAAACATATATAAATAACATTGTCATTTTTACTGCTACTGAACTTAGAATAAAAACAGTCTTGTCCCAAATATGGCCTTGCCATTTTACTTATGTCTCGGAGACTCACTTTGACGCTCAAGGCAGGTCTCGTTCTCATTCTCCAATCTTTGGTATCGCTGGTTTTTAACACTATCTTTCAAACTTTGCTGGCCACAGTGCATTTTCAGTGAAATTAACCTATCCAATTTTGAAATTTCTCAATGTTGCATGTTGCCCCGGGTTGAATTTTTGTCAGCGCCTAATGAAAATTTCCTGTTTTTGAAAAAATAATCCTGGCTATTGTATTGTCCAGAATTAGTTTTTATTTTGCACAAACAACATATATATTAATTAGTAAATGTAGGAAGAAAAAAAAACTAACTTCTGATATGTATTTTTTTTAAATATAAAATTATAACAACTAGCGCCATCTACTTTGAAAAAAGGTTTCAATGCTGAAACGAGATATCTCGGGCCAACTGATCAAGGTCAGCATGTCACGACCAGAGATATGCTGGGAATAACACAGGACAGGTAAATGAGTTTTTTCAAAGATTCATTCATCAAAATTCTATTTCACATTGTTTGCATTTCCAACTTTTGAATGAGCAATGCATGCACAAATTTCGCACTACTGCTTGTTCACAGAGAGTGTCGCCATTTTGAATTTTATTTTGACTCGGGTTCTCGGTCCCGAGTATCTACAAGTCTGGTTTTTTTATGCACGCATGATTTGGGCACCTAATACTCTGTGCCAAATTGCAACTCCTGACATATACAGTACTCCTTCAAACCTCTAAGCTGGTTACCCAGCAGGCAGTATGATTTTATAAACAAGACATAGTGTTGTCAACAAACCTTTTCAGTTACATGCCTCAAAAGTGAAATTGCAGCATCATAAAGGAATGTGCATAACCACATGCAAATTGCAGGACTGGTAGAGGTGACAACAAAGCTATGCAAATGATTAAGTTTGCATATGCATTAGCTCATGTGGTAATCAGTTTTTGGTTATAACACCAGCAGACAGCTCAGCCATAAATGCTATCAGCAAAGATTCATGCCAGTCAAACTTTTGAAGCAGCATAGAAAAAGCCTGAGATGACAGTGAGCTGAATCATTTTCCAGCCATAAACTGGTAGTAGACTGTATCCCAGAACTGTATGACCTTGGTTTGTCAACATGCATAGCTACCATGCATGTTGGGCATGATGTGAGTACCATACAGTGATGTGTGTAACATGATGGATGCAAGAACATCTGTGAACATGCTGAAGAGGAAAAGGTCACACCGCCACAGAGAACACATATCAGCAGATTTGCCAAACAGTCTGCTGGAACCAGTTTGCCATGGCAAGTGACATCTGAAGCTGCCTGTCACCATCAACAGGTGTATCTGTGTCCACCAACAATTCACAACAGGTATGAAGTTGGGCTGCATGCCTGGCATGGTGTTGTCATCATTGCAGCTGGACCACTGAATGATATTGGGTATTGTTTACAGATGAATCCCTCTTCTGTCTGTGGAGGAATGATGGTAGTATCCAGGTGAATGCTACATGCCAGCCTTTTTTACTGAGTGTCATACCATACCAGGCTTCATGTTAAATCAGTGGACAAGCAATGGTGCACATTTCCAGTTCTCTGACAGTGGATCAGTACATCACACAAATTATGGAACTTGTGGTTCAATCACACCTAACAACATTCCATTAAGACAATGATTGACTGCATGTTGCATGGTGAACTCTTACCAGCCTGAATGGATTTCACATCTTTCCTTGGCCAGATCTCTCTCTCATCAAACACCCGTGGGACCTCATCAAACATGAGGTACACAAAGGACCACCACCATAAACGACATGCATATTGCTGTAGGCACCTCAGGCAACCATTAATTGACTCATTGATAATATACCTCACCATAAAGCAGCCCTTGAGGACCATACGCAACAGATATTTGTTACTGAATAAACAAGTGTCTTTGTTTGTTCTTTTAATAATTTTCATATATTTCTTACTGGTCCTTCAATGTGCATGTTGCTATGAGCATTCCTTCATGGTGTTGCAATTTCACTTTATTTTCTTACTACACTCCTCAACTTGTTCAACTAAAACAAATATTTTCTTGGACTGCATCCATAATTTTTTCTATTCAAGCAAAATAAAATATTTTACTCACCTGTGCCTAGATCTCCACTCACTGAGAACTTCACACCGTCTTTGGTACAGGTGATTGACACAGAATCTCCAATTTGACTCAAATCCCGACATATTCTTTGAAATTCAGAAGATGGCATTTTAACCACCACACTGTATTCTGTATCCTGCAAAAAGATTTAAAAATTTGCTGTCATATTTTATTAATTTTTTTTACAGATGTAATGATTAGCAAAGAAATTAATCATTAATTGTACATTCAACCTCCCTATAACACGGGTTCCTATAGTTCAGATTCCTATATCACGGCGAAAAAGTTGCAACAGTATTCGTACAAACATGCTAAAAAAACTCCTAAAATTCAGTAAAAGGTCATCGCCAACTCGTGTTTTGACAGGATTGTACAAACCGTTGAGTTTAAACAAGCAGCAGACCTACTAAAAACCATTTATTATTTAATGTCCATAAAAATTATATTTATATGAATGACGTCTCTAAAGTTCAGCAAATTTTTTGCAAAAAAAATAATTTATCGGGAAGCATGCGAGTGCCATTTGATGACAATCTCCACGACGAAAACAAGCTTAAGCAACAGCATAGTCAAACGGTGCACACTCAGTAAGTAATCCTACAATTTTTTGTTTATAGCATAGTTTATATGGATTATTCCCAAAAAATTATATGTATTTTGGAAATGTTGAATCGAATTAGTCTAGAATCGATTAATTTTATGGAAGAAACCTTTCAAACAGCCGTAGTCCGTAAACTGCATACATGCCGGGCTGTGATTGGCTGGACTCCTAGAAGCTGGATTCATAAAAAGAGGAATGTATCTACCGTGTTATAGGGGAAGGTTGACAGTACTAATTGGCTCCACCACCAATCAATTGTCAAGTGATAACTCTCCAGTAACTGAGTAAGTGGTAAATAATCTTCCATTTGAAAACCAATTTAATAATTTAAATTTAAAAAGTTTAGTAACATTAAAGAAATAATAAATTAAAATTTGTTTAATCACAAGTAAAATAACAAATGAATGAGTCATCCCTACTTAATTTGAACTTGTTTAATTCAAAATCCTTTTTAGTTCAAGCACTTGAGATTCCCCCAGATGCCTTGGCAATTCCTAATGTTTTTCGTTTGAATTTGCTTTTCTCCATTAATTTGAAGTGACGTGACACCAACGTGTCATCTATCAACAATCAACCACTTACATTTCATTTCTCCTGCCACACTGGACTATTTCCTGTAAACTAATTCAGAATCAGAGACATTACATTTCTCAAGATCATGTGACATCACTGCCAACTAAACCTCATCAAAATTAAATTTAAAGCATTTCTTTTTTTGTACATTTTTGATAAGAAAGGGAACTTATAAGGCCTATTAACATGTTTTTTCTGGGTTTTACATGATAAATTACCATCAATTAAAACACTAAAAAATATAGTAAATGAGCAGGAATTCTTTAAATTACACTTTATATATCATTTATATCATAATTCTTATAACACTGTAAAACTTAATGCAGTATAATAAACACTTTAAAATAGCTGTCTATTTTTGATTACATCCGGAGTTGATAGCAGTCTTGAACGAAGTTGCTTAACATACCAAATACTTCAAAAAAGGCTTTGATATACAGTATATCCTTGCAAGCAATTAAAGTATCCAAAATTCTTATTACAGAAAGTGCTTCCAATTGGAATGGACATGGGTTCTCTTCTTTTCCTTGTTTTTCTTCATCATCATTCTTTTTGCTGTAACCAAGAATCTTCTGAATTTCACTAAGAGAAGTAAAAGTTTCTAGCCCATTATCCAATTTGATGAAGTCTTCAAAATTTCCTTGCACATCTTCACAAGAGAATTCTCATTTGGGGCATTCAAAAGCTGTATCATCTACAACCATCTCCAGTTCCTGGTGAAGCAGTTTTTAATTACATCAGGTGTCACGGCTTCTCAGGAAGAAGCAATGTTTCTAAGTGAACCTAAAATTGTCCATTTTCTTGCAGCATTAATTTGAACATTCCTATACTTAATTTTTATTAAGCAGTAGCATACTAAATGCCACTGATAAGCAAGTTTGAAGGAGACAATAGAGAGGTTGTGGCTGTCGTATTCAGCCCAAAATGTGAACGGCGGACCAGCAAGCACTGCCATCTGGCAATTCTGGATGGTCGATAATGGCAGTTGCTACTGTGAGGCTCTGGACAGGTCCGAACCCTCACTAAAATTCGCATTAAAATAATTGTTTTAGAGAAAATAATATATTAGTTAGAAATAGATTTTTATGATATGAAAACGCGACGCTAACTTTAAAACAATAGAAGAAGGTAAGTCCGTCGACCATTTCCGGTTGGAGATCGAATTAAACTTCGATTTTGACCTCTCCCGCGCCCTCGAAAGGTTTCGAATTGTCATCAGGTGATGACGGGAGACCAATCGGAAAGGGGAATCTGAGAGAAAACAGATAAAACCCCGGAAATTCGAGGACGCGACGGCTTCTTCTCACGAAAGTTCCAAGTGACGAACCTGTTGTTGTGTGTGTGTCTCGCACCCATCTTCGTCTCCATCTCCCGACCTCGGATCGACATCTTTCCATCAACGGAAGTCGACCGCATCGTCCCGGAGTCATCGAGACGTGATGGAATGGTTCATTCGCGAACAAGGGACACTCCTTCAAAATGGGACTATCTTGGAAAGGAGAGGAAGACCCAGAGGCCGCAGCCGCCGCAGAACTTCCAAGATCGCGGAAATCTTGTAAGCTTCTTTCGTGTTTAATAAACGGTTGTGTTGTTTGTAAACGAAGCATCTATCTCTGACTCAACTGCTTCCACATGTTGATCGTTACCGCTCGGCAGTCCAAACGACAAGGGAGACGACGATGATATATATCACATATTATCGTTCGTCGAGTCTTTTTTATTTCTCCCCCCACACTACGTCTAGCATGGCGAGTAGACAATTGGCTTAAACTTTGCACTAAACTCTATTTTTTGCCTGTCTATCACATTATATTGAACTTGGGCGTCAATAGACAGACAAAAAATAGAACAAACTATACTATTAAAAATTTTTGAAAAGTTTTCCAAACTTGCAAATGTGCCAAAGTAAGTGTCTGAGAGAACTAAGCAACGTACATCCATTGTGTTTGATAAGAAGAAGGGATATATTTAACAATGTATGGAAATTTTATAGTGTCCGTGTAGTCACATAATTCTTCTAGTTTGTAATATGCAAACTTATGGTGTACAAGTGCCATATCGTGGTTAATGTTTACTGATGAGTTGCCAAAAGCCCGAAACATGTAGAAGTACCATATAAATTAAATAAAGATGAAAAGAAGCCACGTGTTTGATTACTAACACAATCTTGTGTTTAATACTCTCAAAAAATAGTATAAAACGGTTTCAAAAAACAAATAAAGATGAAACTCATTAGTTATCATCATAAACTGAAAATAAGACTTTTCAGATGCTTTTTGTAATACATAAAATTACCAAGATTAAACTATGTTTATGAACTGAATATCTACTGCTTGAACCAAGAAGGTATAGACATATTTTAGCAATTCCAATTAATTTTAACATAACAGTGATGGGTGAAAACTGACCCAAGTGGAGTTCTAGTAGTAAAAAAATCTTGTCAATTCTAGTGTTTAACAATATAATGATCGACATCGTAAGCTATTTTTATTTCCAAATATAATTGTTTATAGTAAAATACATACCGGAATTCCTAAATGTTCCGTGTCTAAATTCATGAGCTTCATCTCGTAATCTGAGATTTTCTCTTGATCTGGAAAATAATTTTAAAATTAAGAGTTTTTTATTTATATGATAATGTTACAAATGTAATGCAAATAAATATAATTATGATAATGCAAAAACTTTTGCCTCTCTTGAAAAAATTCAAGTAAATATTATAGTAGGATCTTATTTTAAATGAAACTGATATACACGAATTTTATTTTTGCAAATGATGAATATACTATGAGTGTACAGGTTTAGGCTTTGTTTCTTTGTTGTACATTTATCTAATTTAAATTTACTGTATTTACTCTCATATAGGACGAGGTGTGACTTTAAAGATCAAAATAAAAAAAATTAGATTTATTAAATACAGTTCTAATCTCATTTTGTTTAATCACAAGTAAAATAACAAATGAATGTAAATGCACACATTGTCCAGCAAAAATTACTGGCATTTTAAGAAATTTTTGTTTTAATTAGATGATAATATTTTCATTTAAATTATTTACTTTTTAAAAACAATGGTCAATTTAGTCAAATTTAATTTCATTATTTAAAACTTAATTTTAAATTGTCACTTTTCTACAAATTTAAATATTAATACAGAACACAATCTACTGATAACTCAAACTGTCAATTTGTCTAGAAATCCAATAAATTGAGTTCCAGACAAATTGATATTTTATATTATTTTTGCATAAGCTGAATACAATAACAGAAAAAGTGTATACACATTTAGCAAATATTTCCAAATTTATTATTATATTTTACAAAAATATTAAATAAAAGCTTACTTGGTGCTTCAAAAACAAATGTTACAGTGTCTGCATCATCTTGTGCTTTAATTGTTATAATGTCATCATTGGCTGCACACTTCAGAATCTTCGACATGCTAAATACAAACGTAACAATTTATGATTCGTTTTAATATTAATTAATAAAATAAAGATTGAGAAAGGATAAATATATGGAATTTTTAATTAATGGAATATCTTAATTAAATACTGTTTACCTAATTTGAAGTATTGAAATTCATCAAAGCATTTTATCAATGAAAGGAAAGTTAAGTTTTCTAGCATGTTACTAATCAGAAATCTTTGCTCAAGAATACTCAGTATTGCAAGAAATGAATAGCAGGAAACGATTAAGATATTTTTAGTGTATTTTTTGGTTTTGTTTTCCATGATTTAAATTTTGAACAAATCATACACATACATCTATTTATATTGTAACTATATTTAACCAAATTATATTCAGACAAATCACATTTATTCATTTTTCAAACAAAACTGTGTAAATGAAACTATTGGATTGTTTGGAAAGAAATTTAGTTTTTTTCCTGTGAAAAAAAAAAAAAAAAAACATTTTTATAATAAATATTTTATTGAATTATATATTGACCATTTGGTCAAATACCTGTTACCACCATATGATGGTAACAGGTATTTGACCAAATGGTCAATATATAATTCTGGTAGTAGCATGATTCCACATTTATGAAAGTTTTGATGTTTGCTTATAAAAAACGGATCCAAGTAATTTTTGACATTTTCATTTCAAGTAAATATCTTACAGTTTAAAAACATTTTATAAAGATAGGAACAAGTAATAATCTGAGGGTGCCTGATATGGTGAATATGGTTGGTGTGATAGCACATCCCATCTAAGCTGTAACAATTTCTGACCAGTTACCAAACTTGTGTGAAATTTGGCATTAATATGGTAAAACACTACACCTGTTTTGTTGATCAATTCTGGCCTTTTCTGTTTGATGATATTACTCAATTTGTTTACTTAATTAATTTGAAAGTGAACTGCCATTAAGGCAGTTCACTTTCAAATCAATTGTCTGGTAAAAGCTGAAAAAAAAATTTTCTTAAAAATCCCACAAAAGAGAGCACATGTGAAACTTTAAGAACATGTGGAACCCATATATCGAGTTTTGAAACAAAACCAATTCGTTTCAAGTAATCATAAACGGTTCAATTCAACAAATTTAATCTCTTAGTGATTTCATGTGTTGTTATTTGGCTGGTAGTCTGCTTCAATCAGTACCTTTATTTTATTTTCATTGGCTTCAACTGACCATCCAGAATGTGGTGCATCTTCAATATTGAAATTACCAGAAAGAATTTTTGGAAACCATTTTTGGCACTGTCGTTCTGTCAATACATCTTCTCCATACATGTCACACAATTTTTTTTCTCTTGAACAGCATTCTTACCTTTTCGGTAATAAAAGAGCAAAATATGCCGAAAACGATGCTTTCAATCTTCCATATTTGATGGGACACCAAAAAAAAAAAAAAAAAAAAATGTACAGAATCAAACAAATTTCTTTTACAAATAAGCCTTTAAATATCAGCTGTCAAAATATATAACAGAAATGTGGTTTAAAATGAAATTGGCTGGTAAAAAATACATCTAATTCCTCTAGTAATAAAAAAACAAAATTATCAATACTTTCCAAACAACCCAATATTTTTTAATTTTTTTTTTCAAAACGAATGTAGTCACAAAAGCATTGCTTTGCACAAATTAATTCGGGTACATCTGAATTTATAAGTGTAATTCTTAAAGTTTGAACTTACTATATGTATATACTGCATAGTATTAAACAGTTCATATATTGTTCAGTACACTACACATAACTGTACACAGTGTATAATATATTTGAACAAACAAAAAGAAAAGTAAAACTGTAAAATTAAGTCATGTACTTTTAAAAAACTGATCACATTTTATTTGTTTCTTGTTTTTCCAATGGACATGTGACATTACATCCACATGGTATCTGCCAAAACTCCAATCATGTGAATGAATGAAAAGTTATTCTGAAGGTTAGCAATATTCACAGTAAATAATGAAATCAAATGAAAAACCAGAAAGCAATTCTTATTCACCTAATTAACTTGGTTCACACTACAAAATGTGAAAAGCAAAACTTTTCAATGTGTTGTATTGACAGAGTAAATTGCTAAATGGAAAAACTCATTGGTTCAGAAAAAACAAAGTGAATAGTATGTAACATGTAATGATATTACAAGCATACCTCAACTTTCAACATGTTAGGGACCAGAACACTTGAAAGTTGAGGCACAGCTTTTATTTGGCATGGAAATGCATTAGGGCTATCAAAAAACAAATATATATGAACATTTAGTAAATAGAAATAAACAAAAGAATAAATAAAATAAGTAATAATACTTTATTAACTTTTATTTATCTTAGAATTATTCATATATACTAAAGTAGATGTAAATATTGGTTATTTAAAAAATTCTAGTTTTAAAAATATCTGAAGATGAGCTATTTTAAGTTGATTCTCTCCAAACTGGAGAAACTCAGTTTAATTCTTTTAGAAGGAGATTTAATGGGCTAGGGCTGGTATTGTTGGCTTAGAATCTGAAAAGTTAGTGGATGAATAACTGCTGTTAGTTGTGGTTCTGTCTTGAAAAAGGAGAGTATGTATGTTTGCCTTCTTGAAGTCATCTATCTCCCTTTCCCTAAAGCCCTGGTCACACTATGCGATTACCAGCTGTGCAGCCCGCGACGGCTGTTTCTGTTAACTAGTAATCCCCCCTCAAAAACTAGCGTGACTGCAACTGCAACTGCAACTAGAAATAAAAAGTTTCTTCTACTTGCGACGATTGCAAATGTGCACCTCATCAACATGGCGGATAGTTAATACTTTTACAAGAATCAAAATAACACATTAATACACTTAACTGGTGATTTTACCAGAATCAAAATTGATCCAGCTTATTCAGGCTCACAAATACCTGTGGGATTTTAATTCTTCGTTTTATCGAAGTTTTTATCTTTTCGTGTATTCTTGCCAGCTCTATCAAAATAATTGCCTTTTTTTCTTTTATTCATTCCAGAAAAGGAACTGCTTGCTATTTTAATAAGAAAAGTGGCTAAAATTCCATAAATACTCTGAAATAGAACTTAAAATGTCGGCAAACTCACGAAAGTAGTCAAAAACAAGCTACTGTAATTTTATTGGTTTATTATAGGGTCATGTGTTTCCGAGTTGCAACGTCAATGAACAATGCATGACCACAAGAAGACGCGTGCAACTCGTGCTTATTGCAGTTGCAGTCGCCTGTGCGGCTAGAAATCGCATAGTGTGACCAGGGCTTAACAAGTTCTCCATAACAAAATGTTTCATGTTCTAATCAATTATTTACTTTAGATCTATCAAAATTGTAATCCATCCTTTCCCAATATACAGTTGTATTCACTATTTTCACAATTCCTATTTCCATTTCTTTGATGGTCATCTCCTTAGGCTGTGTTTTATCTTCAAGCATGGCTTCCTATTCATCCAACAATGTTTTTTGTTGTTCTATCATTAAGAGATCCTAATCACTTGGCTGATTATGAGACTCAAGCAGCTTTTTAAAATTGTCAGTCTATTTCCAATTCCAGTTGCTGAGCCATTTCTATAAAGCCTGAAGTGATGACTTCAACTGTTTCTTCAAACTCTTCAAATTCAATCGTTAGAGTGGGATCAGTTTTTTTTACAAATTCCTTTCAGATTGGATTTTTATATCGTCCCATGCTTCTCCAATAGCATTGATTCCATTCAGAATATTAAATCGTTTCCTAAAGACTTAATTTACTTTACTTAGGTCCATCAACATCAGAAACTAGTACAGCAATAACTTTGGAAAATGTCTGTCTGATCGAGTAAGATTTAAAAGAAGAAATTACAGCTTGGTCCATACACTGCAACAAAGTTGTATTTAGAGGTTGAAACACAACTATAATTTCTTTGTGAGTCTCAATCAAGTCTATGGTGGCTGAAGCATTATCCAATAACAGTAGAATTTTAAAGGAAAACAGCTTACCCGTCGCGCATTGCTGCGATCTCAGAAGAAACAAAATTCAAGCAAACTCGTTATGATAAAATTAAGTTTACATTTTATCATTTTTATTGGAACTTATTATTATTATTCATTTTCACCGGGAAAACATTTCAAAGTGTCGTTTCAATTTTATTTATTTATTGGAGTGCTTTGTGGATACACAATATTTTTTGTTTTTCCATCTAGTGCGTACACGAATAAATCAGAAGGTTTTCCAACGCGTGAGTTGGCCACATACAGTTGTCCACGTGAGAAGCACGGTTTCTTTAAATTTAGCCCACATACTCGCAGAGATTGTTAGAAGTGCGATATTCCCCATTTTTATATATACAGTGGGTGATCAGTTAACGAACATAATCCGTTCCAAGACTTTGTTCGCTATCCAAATTGTTCGTTAACCGATTATCGATTTACCATAGGTTTTAATGGGAATTTAATTAATTCGTTCTGGAAACCCCAAAATAAAAAATATAGGCTATACTTTCTTACCATGTTTATTTATATGTAATAATAAAAATACATACGTACAGTCTTGCGTTAAACTGAAGAAACATGACTAATAAGTCATGTTTCTTCAGTTTGAAAGGGTTAAAGAATCTGTCTAATGTCGATTGCTTTTCTCTCTCCTTCAGGATTTTTCGTAAGTAATTAATAGCATTGCAATTGTAGAAATCCCCAAGCCTCAATCTGGTTTGGATGCCATTTTAAGACCGTTGTTCTGACATCATCCCACTTCTTTACAAGATCTTTAATAGCAGATATCAGCATAAGTCCGCATTTTCAGAAGAAAACATATCTCGCCGAGTTTCTTGGCGTTCTTCATTCAAGAGTTCTTGGCGTTCTTCTGTCGTCAGATCCGTTTAAGGTTCCATTACGAACTCTTCGATGTTCTTTATTTCTCATATGTGATTTTTGTTACTCCTTTAGCTGCTTGAGTCTTCTTGATTATACAGTATTTTTCTTAAAAAAATGAACTGCGGCCTACTGTAGACCTGTTCACGCCATACTGCCCAGCAACATTAGGTATCTTCTGCCCACTCTTTACCTTTGCTATTATACTCTCACCTTACAAAAAAAAAAAGACATGCAAAACTTAATGAGTGCCTACCCGACAGTCTCGCGAATACATAAAAGAATTGTTTTGTCAGAAAAATAAAAGGCTGGAATTACAAGGGAGAGTTTCAAAGTTCGGAGGAATACTATCCGATCGGTATATACCGGCTTGAGCGTCGATGTCGACGTCTCCCACACTCCGAAAAGTTTCGAATTGTTGCCCGAAGACAAGGGAAGACCAATCGGTATTCATTATTTTACGTCGCTTCTTCTTGTGTTTGTTCTGTGGAGTGTTCATTATCCGATCATGTGTTCGTTGTCTGAACATAAAAATCTTTCGCGAAAGTGTTCGTTATCCGATTTGTTCGTTAACCGATCACCCACTGTATTTTTTAATCCTTTATAATTTTGATTATTTAATTGCTCCTTCCTCTCTTCCTAGGTGTGTTGTGAAATTTCTCATAGTTGGATAATAAACCGTTTTATTGTAATTTGTCTTTTTAAATTATTTTGAGTTGATATTAAAATTTGGAAAAGGGGATCCCTAGATTGGTAAAATAGGTGAATTTCCTTCTACAACTTCGGTTGTTGTTCGGGATACAGTTAAGGTTTTAACAAAGTTCGAGCAATTACGTAATTAGCAAAAAAAAGTTGAAATAAAGTGATTAAACAAAAGTTATTACAAATATTGTAAATAATAAATGCATATATAGAGATATTTTTTGGAGGGGGAAATGGTCTTCACAATTTGAAATCGATTGAACACACAGTGCTTGAATGCTTGTGTAAACGTGCGCCATCTATTGTAGGATAAATGCCAGAAACCTTCGCGGGAGTGTATTAAAAAACTTCCCAAAGCTTCATGGCAATCGTACTACACCAGAAACCTTCACGGGAGTATATTAAACAACTTCTCAAAGTTTCACGGCAATCAGATAAACGGTGTGGTAATGCATGAAGGACACACACACATACATTCATTTTTATATAAAGGAAATATTCTGTTTTGTACAATAATTTCCATCTTCAGCTTGAAATTACCAATGAACCAAGTCATAAATAATTCATCAGTCATTCAAACTTTTTTGCTGGGCCGTGAAAATAATTTTTCAGGGCCTAGAATTCTCAGAACAATAAATGATCATAGGCTTTAGTTTGCATTCACCAGCTGCATTAGCTCCCAATAACAGAGTAACTTATCCTTGGCAGCTTTGAATCCAAGCATTAATTTTTCCTCTCTGGCAATATATGTTCTGTATAGTATTTTTATCCAAATCCAAACCTATTTCATGTACGAATCTGTTTAAGGATCTGAAGGAACCCCTTTGGGGGAGTGCATTTTCCAATGCTGGAAGAGCTCTGAAGAGAAGTGACCCGACAGATTCAGATGCTCAATAAGAAGGGGACGCTGAACGGAATCCAAGCACTTCCATGCCGCTGGCAAGTGTGCATTGATAAAGGAGGGGATTATTTTGAAGGCATGTAATCACTTGTATCTTTTTCAATAAATATTTTTCAAGTAAGAACCAACTGTGCATTACTTTTGGGACAACCCTTGTACTTTACAAAATAGGTCATAGAACTTCCTGTGCAAAATTGGTCTTGAATGCAGAACAAAGGACATTGTCTGGGACTCTCCTTAATAAACCATGACAACTGATTTTCAGATATGTTATACTTTTTGTGTTATTTGTACTACTATTTATATATGTATGAAAAACTATCAATTGTAGCTAAAGGAATAAAATAAATTCCTGAAAAATGACAATCATTATTAAATATAAAAAAAATTGTCGTTTTCAAAATGTTGTAAAACCTATAAACTGTTCATATATGATATAAAATAACAAAAGGCATATATTTATATATAAAATTAAAGATTAGTAATAGAGAAAAGCGCGCAATATTTATTACTATCAAATTATTATCGTATTGTTGAGTAAAAGAAATTGATCATTGAATATTGTATTAGATATTGTTAAATACCTGGTTAAATTGATACCCATTGATAAATTTCGATCACATCGGAATTTATCGAAGCCATCACTTCTCAGATTGAGGGAAACCAAACTGACGTGAGAATTGTCCATGGCTTGTAAACTGATTCCCGTGGCCGCACAATCCCACGTTGCTTCATTAATAAGATCTTTAATGGCTTCTAAAACCTTCTTTAATAAGGCACCTTGAACTAATCTGGCTTCGAACATTTTGTCTTAACTAAACAAACTCAGGACAGATGCAGACAAAACCAACCACCACAAATCCCGCCAAATAAAGCGCGCTAAAATTACATAACACTGTTGCCAGACAGAAATTATCTACTGATAATTATCAAAAAATAATATGTTTCACTTTAATTACAGAAAGCGAAATATTATTTTTTATAACATTAATAATAGTAATAATATAATTATTTATTTTAAAAAGAAGTTGATGTAGCAGAGTCATTTTGTTTTTTTTTTAAACTCTTTCCGCCCTGTTTTTTTTAAACTCTTTCCGTTTTCTGGGAACTAAGAGGGCCTCTTTTTTGCAAGCTCATTATGGGTACGGCCAGGCCCACAATGGGGCGACCGGGTGGTGAGGGACGGGGCCCGACATATCCAGACGGACCAAACCCCGAAAAATTCCTGGGGATTGTTCGACCCGCCAGGATTTGATCCCGGATCCCCCAGAGCGGTAGGTTGCCACCTTGACCGCTCGGCCATCCGGCCGTCGAATCAGCTTGGGTATTAACCAATGAGCATTAGCCATTACTCGCTTAGTTGTGGCAAGTTACTTCCAGTTTCTTGCTTATTTGCTAAACATTTCATCCCCATTATAAACAGCGTTATGGAAGCTTTACGTTTTACTACTGGAATACGAGGAAGTTCGCTATAGTAGCTGTTAAATGCATGATTCTTTACAGTTAATACATGATATAAAAATTTAACACAATTAACGGAAAAGTCTTTTTGCGTCTAGTAAGAGAATATAAAATAAAATTCATATATAGTCTGACATATATAGTGAAAAGTGCTGGCATCATTGGAGGAATGTGCTATTGGTTTAACTAAAGCGACATCACGCGTAACGTTACTCTCACGTCGATTCTTTCCATGGACCAGTGGCGTGCTGTCATTGGAAGCAGTGGGAGCGCCGCTTTCCTTGTATTTTCTAAAATAATAACTACAAACTGCGCGATTATTTTCAAATTTTAACGTATTTTGGATTAATTAAAATTAATATTTTATTATAACCGCATTATGTATCTAATTACAAATTTCTATACTACACGTGAAAAAAAAAGGATAAGATCGCTACTGTATATTCGAATGTCAGTGACGGAACGGAAGCGCTGTATTGTCGAAACCGGATCAGCTTCAAAACAGCCAGATTATACTCATTAGCGCATGTGTTTTACAGAGCACCAAACCTCACCCGGTTTAGCTGGTGGAAGCTACATATAACGCTTCCAATGATTCTATACAGGACCGGATCTGGGCTGTTAGCCGCCTACCTGCTATATATTTGGCCGCCCTCGCCCGATTAGGGAATTTCGCCCGCGAGGGAATTTCGAAAAATCCCTTGTTAGTGTGCATTTCCATGGCATACCCCAAGGACTGTATACTACAAGGATAGCCAGATCCCTATTCTACAATGTTAGCCAGGAATGGCAAGTTAGTGACGTCAGCATGTGTCCTGACCTCTCTGTTTACATAGAGCAGGGTGTGCACGTGTTTAGTTTTCGCTTTTAATATTCGTCCAATTTTGTGATTAACGAAGTGATTTATTTTAATATTTCTGTAATTGTTTTATTTGACTGTTTTTTATAAGGTAAGATGATTTAAATATAAGTCATTAAATATTTAAAGCTATATTTTTATGTTAGGTGAAGAACAAAATGCTGAGTACTAGGTGTGCTGTGTATGGTTGCAATAATAACCTTCTTTTTTCAAATTGGAAGCAACCTGTTTACATCGGGTTTGATCAAAAAATGACAAGAGAAATACTTTTAAAATTAATAGCAGAACTTTATTTACTATCGTATAATGTAGTAGCTTGCGTCAGTGACTGTAGTTGCAGTAACATAAGTTTATGGAAAGAATTGAATGTGAATATCAATGAAACGTTTATTATGAATCAATTATTATTATCAATGAAACGTATATTAGAGATATAAATATGTGGTTCGACATTTTTAATAGCTATGCACCAAAAGGTTCTGTTCCAAGCAAAAATGGATATGGTGTAGACTTGGAATTACAAGAAGAACATTTAAATAAAATGATAAAAATAATCTCAACAATGAGAGCAAGTGGAAAAAATGCCCTCCAAATTTTCCAGAAAGGAATGATAATCTCAATGAAATCGCTAATTGATCTTTTTCAAGATATGAAATCGACTTTTGATATAAAATACATCTGCACTTAAATCAAGATTGTCTGGAAAATTTTTTTTTTTCAAATTAGAAGCCGGGGTCCTAATGAACATCCAAGCCCATTAAATGCTATATATAGGATTAGATTGATTATTTTAGGTAAGAATCCTGGTATTTTAGAGTCAAAAGTAAATACTACAGATCGAAGACAAGAGGAATATATTATACCCAAAGTTTTAGAGAAAGCACATGTAGAAGTATCAAGTGAAAATACAGACCAATATACTGAATGTAAAACTACTTTTTCTTCAAATAAATCTTCAGGAAACTCTACATGCAATCTAGACTTTAACACAATCTCTGAAGAAACTTCCTACGATGCTCTCGAGTATATAGCAGGATATTTTGCCTATAAATATAAAGAAAAATACCCAAACTTAATTAATTCCACTAACAAAATTAAAAATCATTACAACTATAGCATTCCGTCATGGGTGCAACATTTATCTTATGGAGGGCTTATTAAACCTACTGATGAATGGCTAGCAAAAATTATAGAATGGAATAAATATTTCGAAATATATCACGATGAATCGTATAAAAAAGGCCCCGGAGTTGTACAGAATTAGTCAGTGGAAACAGTTTTACCTTTTACTTTAATAAAAGATTTTTGTAAATTAAGAACTATAATAAGAATTAATTATAGAAATCTTAAACAAGAAAACTATAAAATATTGAAAAGAATGCCTTCTGAAAATGGTGATTGTCGAAAAAAAATTAAAAAGTTAAGTAAGATAATCACATAATAAAAAATATAGCTCATTAATTTGTTAAATAAATATTAGACAAAAGACTTGTAAATTTATTGACGTACAGTACACTTATTAAATCCGAAAATTCTACAGTAGTTTACATTTAGTAGTAATTTAATAATTAATTAAGAAATGATTTAATATTTTATCGTATTTTGTTATTTGAAAGGTCTGTCATGTTGAAGTAGAGGACTTGCTGTGACGTCACATAGATCCAAGGTCATGCTAACAAATATACGGGATCTGGCTATCCTTGTAGTTTAAAGTCCTTGGGCATACCCTACTAAATACCCTACTAAAACGCAGATAAAAACAAAAAATCGCATCTAAAATAGTATAGTAGAAGCCATTCTTCCGGTTAAGCCTTAATGCTCTCCCTCTCTCCCCCCGCGGAGGAATTTCGAAAAATCCCTTCTTAGTGTGAGTTTCCATGACGTACCCTAACTGTCTACCAAATTTCACTTCTTTAGGTTAAGCGGTTTGCTCTGGATGATGATGATCGTGGCTAGCAATTTTATATATTTAGATATGATTCAAATTTTTACAAGATATTATTATTTATTGTGAAATTTTGCCAGCCCCTAAAATGTAATTTTGCCGCCCCTTAAAAAGTGCCGCCCGGGGCGGGTTGCCCCTGCCGCCGCCACTACACTACGCTACTGAATAAAGACAGAAATTTTTCCAATTCAATGAGAGTGACTGAAAAGTATATTTTGGAAATTTTCGTGGTCTTAAAACGAATTAGTTAGAAAACAAACGACGGACAATCTATTAAGTTTAACATATTTAGATTTTTATAGCTATGGTGAGAAACGTGTAAAATGTACAACAACCCTGTCGCGTCCTTTGAGGTATACTAGTGATGCGACAAAAGAGACATTTGACATTGACCGGTATCGGCACCCTCGGGATCTAGTAGTCCGCGTGCCGTGCAACGTACTCTGATTCCATCCATTAGCCACTCGTAGGGAGCTATTTGACCAAGTGGATTGTTTTAAGATTTAAAAAGTAAAGAATATTTTGTTATTTTTATGTACGTTTCTTTACAAAGTTATATTTAATTATAATTTTCTTTAAAAGTATATTCGTACAATTGAAGAATATTTTGTACCAGGTATGTATTGTACACCCACCACACATTTTATTTCACCAAGTAAATTTTTATTATTTTATTTTTAATTGTAGCCCTTATATCGTGGCTGACGACTTGGAATGTAATTATAATATTAAAAATACATTTAGGGAAGTCTGCGGTTTTTACTGGCTTATCGAACAAACGATACGAATGGACCATAGACCATCACTGACGCGCAATTAACTAATTGCCGCTGGATGTCGGCTTCTTACAGAAACACAGCTTCCTTATCAAATGTCACGGCACGCCACTGCCATAGACAGACTAATAAGTCCTTTAAGATTGTCTCTGGGAATCCGGGCGAACAACTGAGGAATTTTTCAGAGGTGTATGTCAGGGGTCGGCAACCTTTTGAGTCGGAAGAGCCAAAATTATAATTTACAAAATTTTAAAGTTTTTAAAGAGCCACAAAATTTTTTCTTGCCAACAATAAATAGTACTCGCATAAATAAAGTTTTTTGATAAAAAAAACTAATCTATTTATTCATATATAAGTAGTCTTTTTCACAACAAATTAGATAATATATATATATGGCATTATTAGATAATTACTTATTATTTAAGTAAATTATTACTACAATTAAACATTTACTTACAACACTAACTTGTACTTCAATAACAAACAATTGAGCAAACAAATTCAA